ACATAGGTTATTTCTTTTGTTCACTGCTTTCGAAGTTGAGCGATTTTTCCAAACTGTGTTATATATCCAAAACAGTGAGGTAATGTTTGTTAAGGGGTCACAAAGGTGTTATTAAGAATCTCTCTAAAGTTTCTTCTCCTGCTTCATAGGTGATCAAGACAAAGCCTTACTTTCATCAATGCTGCGCCTCATCTCCGCATCACTGTGCCTTCAGTGCCACCGTGTGACATATTTATCTTCAACCTTCAGACCATGTGGGACACTCAGCTCAGCAGAGAACCAGCAAACTGTGGAGGCTCTGTATGGCCTTTCTGTCGACATCCAAAAGGTGAGAAAGCTTAAAGGATGGGTCCTGCAACAGAGCCCATCTTACACAAAGGAGGTTGCAGACTTATTGAAGGACCTGGGTGCCTCAGGGACCATAATTTCTCAGATTTTAACGGTTTACCCTGAGGCTGTACTCTGCAATCCAGACCAAACACTTGCACAGAAAGTGCTCTGGCTGTCAGTGTGTCCCAACCAGAAAGAGCTGGTTGGTATCATCGAGAAATTCCCAGCCTCCTTTTTCACGTCCTCAAGTCACCATGACAACCAGCGCAACAACATCACTTACCTTCAAAGCTTAAACCTCAACAAGCGTATGATAACCAAGCTCATGGCCAGTGCCCCGCAGAGCTTCAGTCGTCCAGTAGAGCAGAACAAGGAGATGGTTCACAGCCTCCAGCAGACCTACCAGGACCTCGGAGGAGATGAGGCCAACATGAAGATCTGGCTTCAGAAGCTGTTGAGCCAGAACCCCTTTGTACTCCTGAAACCACCCGAAGTCCTTAGACAGAATATGCTCTTCCTGCAAGACAGAGGTTTCAGCACAGCGGAGCTCCTCTACCTGCTCTCCAAACTGAAGGGCTTTGTTATTGAGCTGAACCCGGACAGCATGCGCCATACCCTGAACTACTCTCAGGACACCTTGGGGTGCTCGGAGACAGAGCTGCGAGACATCATTGTCCGCTGTCCAGCGTTACTCTACTACCCTGAAGATATTCTGGCTGAACGCTTCCAAGGGCTCCTCCGCGCCGGAATCAGTATGCATCAAATTACGCAAACCCCGACTGTGCTGGAACTGACTACACAAATTGTTAATTATCGCATCCAGAGACTGAAGTCACGCGGTTACGATGTAAGGACTGCTAGCCTGGATGTTCTTAATGGTACAAAGAAGGACTTTGAGGTGAATTATGGGAAACTTCAGCTATGCAGACAGCGACCTCTTTTTAACCCCGTTGCTCCTTTAAAAGGAGATGACTAACAAACATTTAACAGACATTTGCTATACCAGCCTCTGACACCGTCAGAAAGGTATTCGTTGAACAACAGGTTTAGTTCTGGAGTTGGGTAAGAGGTGCAAATAAAAGTGCACAAATTGTGGCCCCTTCATGAAACCAAATAAGCTTGAAAAAAAAGAGAATAATTTAAAACCTTGTTTACCATTCTTTGAAACTCGGTCTTCCTCAAAGTGCTGTATCTTAAACGTGAGTTACACTTGAAAAAAATTAAACTTGGAACACTTTGATCTGTTCTACAGTAATGTAATTCTAAAGTTGTCTCAGTACCTTATTTAGTCCTAGCCATGGGATGTTTGCAACACAATGTGAGCTTGAGAATGACTGACCTTTAAGATGCAAAGAACATATCATGAGAGGATTGTGGAAAAACAAGTGGGCAAACATATTGGGACAACTGCCTGTATTTACTAGTCAATAGTACAAAAGAATATTGTACTGTGTGCTCTTCAGCAAGCTCCCTACCATCTTAGTTCAGGGCTGCAGGCCCTTCATTTGCATCGCATATAATGAGCGTCAATTCAATTTCCCCATGAACCATTAAAATGAGTCCAATTGAAAAAATAAATCAATGAAACCGTCATTATAACTGTTAATACAAGTTCCGATGTGTAAAAACCTTGGTAAGATGGAGATAAAAGGCCCTATTGCGTGTCTTATCAAGGAGTGTATCAATATACATTTTGTTTCATTATGTTTTAAAAATGAAGTGGAGTTCTGGCGGTGCGAGGTTGGCCGCTTCATTTTCGTTTCAGTGCGGATCCAGTAGCTCTGAAGTTGGTAATCCATAACAAGATCGTGTTTCGACCTGGTACGGGATCCTGTCTACCAAGATTGAAGTGCAAACGGAACGGAACGCTCGTTGTGTTGCAGTTACAGATTCGTTTGTTTTGATAAACATTTCCACAATGAAAGCGCATGCTCACCAGTCCAATTCATGGCAGCAACTGAAAAAGAAACGAAAAACAATGGCAGTATAAGGAAACAAAGCAAAATGGCATTAGGTGAAAAAAAATGGCATTATCTATACTTTTCGAAAATAAAAACACTTTTTTGTTTCTTTACTTTATTTGCCTTTTATTTAACCTACAAATGTGTCAGATCATTTTGCCTGACCCTGTATTTGTCTACGCGGAATATCCACGTGAATGTTTTTGTGGTGCTTCAAACTAAAAACCAGTGTGGTCATCAAGGATTAGTGTTTTTTATTTTTTTTTGCTGATGAAAATTTACGTTGAAAAAAAACCCAACCATCTAGTGCAGGGGTGGCCAACCAGTCAGAGACTAAGAGCCAATTTTTTGACTGTGTTACTGCAAAGAGACACACACACACACGACTCGACGTATTGGGCACCCCTACCCTAAAAACAGGTAATTCGCTGACTAGCTTAGCACCTAGTGCCGATGTCTGCGCACGAGCGGTGATTCAGTCCTCTGATTGGTTGCCCTCTATGTCAATCAAGTAATGGGATCGATGATAGGCTGATGTAATAATAATAATACATTTTATTTATAAGCGCCTTTCAAAATACCCAAGGACACTTTACAATCAAAAAGAGCAATAAAACCACAGATAAAATTATAAATAATAAAAAGCGACAAGTTTAAACTGTATATGCAATTTTAAATAGGTGGGTTTTGAGATGAGTTTTGAATGTAGGAAGAGAGTCAATATTTCAGTCAATATGTAGTACGTTCTGTGTATTAAGCACCGTTGTTTGAATGGCAGCGCCATCGCCGAGGTGTTTTCGACAATTGTCATGTGAAAGCCTAGGAGCCGCATGGAACCAGCCAAAGAGCCGCATGCGGCTCACAAGGCGCAGGTTGGCCACCCTTGCTCTAGTGTGAAATCAGATACTGTATGTGTGATAGCATTGTCTGTCAAAGTGCTGCCACTGACAAAATCAAATTGAGCCCCTCTTCACATTAAATTTGCATACGCTGAATTATGCCTTTGTCAAATGTGTGGCCGAGTTTCAAGGAAAACAAACAAACCTTTTTATTTACAGCCTGTGCAAATGTCTCATTTTACCACAATCTTCTTGGCAGAACAGCTGTTTCCCTCCGGCAAGCAGTCAAACAGTTTCATTGTTACTTACAGATGGGGACACTTTATTATGACCCACTTCACCTGGAAAATGTTCATTATCGTTTTAAACCAGAGCACATAATGAGATGACGAAAAGTTGTCTTGATTTGAGTTGGAAATGCTTTTGTGTCACCTTCATTCAGTGAGGTGAGTTTCGAAGGTGTCTATGCAAAGAGGGACTGCAACTGTTTTGAATTCATTTGAAAACACATGCACCCATGTTTTAGCTTGTGAGTTAGGAAAGGTTGAGTTCTTTCTGAGTAAACAAGTGGGACGTTCTCTGTCATACAGTGTGCTATTGTTTTTGTAACCAGCCAAATCCCTTAAAACATGTCGGAGAGCTTTTGTTTTCCACCTAATGAGCAAAGAAAGAAAGCAAGGACTTGAATGTCCGGAGTGGGGGCGGAGCAAGAAGAAAACATACGTTAACAACTTCCACTCCCCATCTGCTGCCGTCGTCATCACTCAGCATGACTGTGTAGTCATGGTGATAGCCGCTGGGCAGATAATGAAAAAGTGAGTAGTGCATCTGGTGATAATGCATGTGAGCTCAGCAGATGGATGCTTGAATAGGAATCATATTGAGACCATTCACAACAGCAAAGCCTCAAGGGGGCCTGGGTGATGCTTCACATCGACCCATCAGCTGACTAATTTTACACATCCTTTATTTTGTCATGTTGCTCGGTTGAAGCGTCTGTTGTACACTCGTGGCAAGTAATACAAACATATCATCATCAATGTAGTATATTCTTTAATAAATATAAAAAGAAATGAACCGTGTTGTTGTCATTCAGCCTCATTTTATATGAACAGTTGTTATTTATGTTTACCACAACTGCATACTCAGACCTGCTACATCTCATTTGATGAGACCCAATCCAAGTGATGTGACATAAAAATTGCCTTCAGAAATAGAATTTTGAAATGTTTAACTATATATTTATTTTTGTGGGGACACCTGATTCAGGGGCACCATGGCGAAATAGCAGTCTGCCTCATCCTCATGTGATATTGATTTGAATCCCTGCTGGAACATCCTTGCACGCACGCATGCAAGGCTTTTCTTCCACCTTTCGAAACCTCAGACTAAATTGTCATAGATGTACGTGTACAGCAAACGTGATTGTGAATGCGCATTTGTGCCCTGTGAGTTTAAATATTGGACAAGCCTCTCTGTATGATGCTTTGGAGTCCTAAACCAATACAAATTGTGATTAGAATAATAAACTGTGTTCATGAGAATCTTTTCGCGACAACATGAAAACTCAGCATTATGATACCGTTTTTGAAAAAGCTGGTTACTTGGTTTGAAAACCCCCCACACACACACTTCCTGTGTGGGCTTTGCATGTTCTCCTCGTGTCTGCATGGGGTTTTTTCCGGATATTCCAGTTTCCTCCCACATTCCAAAAACATGCCTGGCAGGTTCATGGAACACTCCAAATTGTCTCTCGGTGTGAGTGTGAGCGCAAATGGCTGTTCGTCTCTGTGTGCCCTGCGATTGGATGGCAACCAATTCAGGGTGTCCCCCGCCTACTGCTCGAAGACAGCTGGGATAGGCTCCAGCACACACCGCGACCCTCGTGAGGAGAAGCGGATTAGAAAATGGATGGATGGCTACTTGGTTGTTGGAAATCATGAGCAGTGATAATATTGTGGCCAGTTGGTATATTGTGTCTGGTAAGCCTACAGTAGGTCTTGTACAACTTTGAACAAGCACACAAACCTCACACACAATTATCGTTATCCCTAATCAATGACTACCGGTATTTGGTTCTACTGAGCACATTTTGGAGCTGCCGATGGAGGCAGATGACACAGGACAGGGCATTGGTCAGCTCCAAAGAAGCAAAGCCATCCGTGTTCACTTGTCCTTTGCTGACTGTCCCTCAATGGCAAAGTCGAGCCAGAGAGGTTAATAAGGGTGAGCATAAATTGTCCTTTTTCATTTCCAACATGGCACAGGTTGATATTAGTCGTGCTTCACTTAATGCCGTGATAGGGCATATCTCAACAGAAACAGATGACATCTGCAATTAAAAGCAATGAATTCCAGCTAAAGTGGGACCGTACATGTACTGTGGTAATAAATAACCTCAATTTGAAATCAGTTTAAGTCAATATCTTTCAATGTCATATTTTAAGTATAGTCTTCATTCAAACACTGCAGTAAATGTTATTTCAAAAGTATTGAACCATATGAGGCGGCCCGGTAGTCGAGTGGTTCGCATGTCGACTTCACATTGCAGAGGTACCAGGTTCCATTCCAGCTCCGGCCTTCCTGTGTGAAGTTTGCATGTTCTCCCTGGGCCTGCGTGGGCTTTCTCCGGGTACTCCGGTTTCCTCCCACATTCTAAAAACATGCATGGCAGGCTGATTGAACACTCCAAATTGTCCCTAGATGTGAGTGTGAGTGCGAATGGTTGTTCGTTTCTGTGTGCCCTGCGATTGTCTGGCAACCGGTTCAGGGTGTCCCCCGCCTACTGCCCGAAGACGGCTGGGATAGGCTCCAGCACCCCGCGCGACCCTAGTGAGGATAAAGTGGATCGGAAAATGAATGAATAAATGAACCATATGATGGCTATTGTACTACACTGTACTGTAGAAAGTGGTAGAAAAAAAATAGTCCACCTTTGCAGGTATATCAATCTGCACTCTTGACTTTCTCCAAGAGGTTGGAAGGGTTGTGAGAATTGCTTTCCATTCATGCAGAAAACATTTGTGAGGTCAGATGTCAGTGATGTCGGATGTGATAGCCTCTTCCAGCTCATCTGTGAGCTCAACTCCATTGGAGTTTGATGATGTTGGAACAATAGGATTGTCATACAGGTCTCAGTGAGATGAAGAAATAAAATTAACTCCACATTGATGAACTGATACAAATGAATAGAAATGTGTTTGTGTGGGCTATGTCGTGTATCCTACCGACTGCTGTCAGGCTGCTGAATAAAAAATGAATAAATAAATGAATCATAGAATTATTTAAATGATATGACAACATATGTGAATAGTACTGTGACTATTGTATTATATTGCACTTAATTATTGACCTTATCCATGTTTGTATTTATATTGCACTTAATTGAACTGTGTTTTCTTTTCTCTTCTTTCTACCCACAATCTTGCTGCTGAAGGCTGTAAATTTCCCCAGTGTGGGACAAATAAAGGATATCTAATCTAATCTAAAAACAGCAAAATCCACCCATTTTTAACCTTTTCAGGAGGGGCCATTTTGCCATTTTCTGTCAACTGAAAATGACAGCACAGTTGTGCAGGGCTCGGGTAACAACCAATCACACCCTGTTTTCTGAAGCTAAGCAATGATAGATTGTTACCTGAGCCCAAAACAACTGTTTTTAGTCGACAGCAAGGGGCAAAATGGCCACTCTCTGAGTGGTACAAAAACGGTTGGATTTTACTGCTTAACCCCTATTCCACAAATGCAACATTAATCAGAATGCTGTGTTTAGAGCATGTCGACTTCACATTGCAGAGGTACCAGGTTCCATTCCAGCTCCGGCCTTCCTGTGTGAAGTTTGCATGTTCTCCCTGGGCCTGCGTGGGCTTTCTCCGGGTACTCCGGTTTCCTCCCACATTCTAAAAACATGCATGGCAGGCTGATTGAACACTCCAAATTGTCCCTAGATGTGAGTGTGAGTGCGAATGGTTGTTCGTTTCTGTGTGCCCTGCGATTGTCTGGCAACCGGTTCAGGGTGTCCCCCGCCTACTGCCCGAAGACGGCTGGGATAGGCTCCAGCACCCCGCGCGACCCTAGTGAGGATAAAGTGGATCGGAAAATGAATGAATAAATGAACCATATGATGGCTATTGTACTACACTGTACTGTAGAAAGTGGTAGAAAAAAAATAGTCCACCTTTGCAGGTATATCAATCTGCACTCTTGACTTTCTCCAAGAGGTTGGAAGGGTTGTGAGAATTGCTTTCCATTCATGCAGAAAACATTTGTGAGGTCAGATGTCAGTGATGTCGGATGTGATAGCCTCTTCCAGCTCATCTGTGAGCTCAACTCCATTGGAGTTTGATGATGTTGGAACAATAGGATTGTCATACAGGTCTCAGTGAGATGAAGAAATAAAATTAACTCCACATTGATGAACTGATACAAATGAATAGAAATGTGTTTGTGTGGGCTATGTCGTGTATCCTACCGACTGCTGTCAGGCTGCTGAATAAAAAATGAATAAATAAATGAATCATAGAATTATTTAAATGATATGACAACATATGTGAATAGTACTGTGACTATTGTATTATATTGCACTTAATTATTGACCTTATCCATGTTTGTATTTATATTGCACTTAATTGAACTGTGTTTTCTTTTCTCTTCTTTCTACCCACAATCTTGCTGCTGAAGGCTGTAAATTTCCCCAGTGTGGGACAAATAAAGGATATCTAATCTAATCTAATCTAATCTAATGTTTTCCCGTAGGAACGTGGACCCTAGACTGCATTCTGTCATGCACTTCGGCTCCAACTCCGAGACGATGTAATAAATCACTGGAACAACAGAAAGAAATACACCACTTTTATTTCATATTAATAGTCATTGTTTTAGCACGTTTAAATCAAACACACATAATCCTTAGCAGAGATGTTGCGTATTGACATTTCTTATATTAACAAATGATGATCAGTGTCTTCATAAAAGTGAACATATAACAGCATTATTAAAGGAAATGTGGAAGATTAATTTTTTTCCAAAGCATAGTTTCAAACTGGTCGCCCTTCACATTAATCGGTACCCAAGAAATAACTCTGTTTCAAAACCGTTATGGAGCCTTGGACTAAATGGTGAATGGCTCAAATAAGCTTCATATTCAGTCACTATTAATTCGATTTTCACATACAACTTGGATTAGGTCTGTAATGATAAGTGGACCATGTCTCCTCATCCAAGTACTAACCTCAGCCCAGACCGCCCCACCATGTCTGCTCCAGTCTAACGTCAAAGAAAGCAAATCACCAGGGGATTTGATTTGTCAAAAGCATGCAAGATCCTCAGAAAGAAATGCACTCTTGATAAGCAGATATACTTAAGCACCTGGGAAATGTCTACAATCTGCTGTGTATTCAAACTGCCCTGGACCAGACATTGTGGCATCTCTCAAGCTTTGAAGTCGGAAAATACCTCAATCGAAAGGCCTCCACGCAGTTTGGTCAACTCCAGTCAACTTGGCATTGCTGGACCCAGACTGACCCCCTTGGATGGACATGGGAACTGCAGCTGCAAGCTTTCTATGCAGTTATAACTCTCAATGTATTCCTTGAAATGCAAAATACTGTACTGTTTATGCATGTATGCTTGCATATTGTTTACTGCGCTTATCCTGCTAATTTAGCATTGATGACTCCGCTTGGGCCATCGCCACGAGAACCTTACCAAACTTTGGTTTTCTTGTTTCCAGGTGCCGCCTTTTTTCCTGTAGATTTTTCCTTTTCTTCATCTGCAAACAAATCAAAAGTTCCTTCCGGCTGCTCATCACGCGAGACTCCGCTCCCCAAACGTAAGTGCCGACTTGGCAGCGCACGAAGGCTTCAGTTTGTTGCATACCGCATTTGAATGAACGTGACCAAATTTTGTGCATTTCATAAAAATCCGCCACCGTCACTATACTCCTCATTACCATCTTCTCACGCCTCCTCATTGGACGCCCCATTCCTTCCTGACCTCCCATCCATTTTGATTTGTTTTTGTTTTTGTCATTCACTAAGGCTTGCCGTAGAACAAGAATTTGCAGATTATGTCTTGTTACTGTAGTTAAACATTGTCTAGAGACGTCAATCATGAATAGTGTGTGTGCGTTTGGGTCAAAGTATTAACCTCTACTTTGGTAAAAAAAACTCCCAATTTATTTTATTGTACCTCCCACCCCATGTTTCTCGAGGTTTAACGAGATTTGTCATCATTTCCCCTCATTGGCCCTAGACGTGAGCGGGAGTAATGCAGGCATCTTTCCTGAGCCGCGATTAATTGTCTACACCAGGGGTGTCAAACTCATTTTTGTCGCGGGCCACACTGAAGTGACCGTTTTCCTTGGAGGGCCGTTATAACCGTGAAAGCTTTTAAAGAAGTCAAGAATAATGGTTGATTCAACGATAGTTTAAGTTGCTGTAATGAGGGGTTTGGTAACAAGAAAATGCTTACAATATCTCTCATATTTATTACATATGAGAAGTTGAAATTTTGGTCCAGATTTTAGAGATCATAGTAGAAGTTGACATGTTTGATTTGTTTTCGCGGACCACATAAAATGATGTGGCGGGCCAGATCTGGCCCCCGGGCCTTGAGTTTGACACCTGTGGTCTACACTTTGACGAGGGACCACCCATTCTCGCTACAAGTCCCAACATGAAAGCCATGTATTCATAGCCTCGGAAAGAAAATCGCGACTATGAGCCTTAAAAAGATGGAATTTTATTTTTTGTCAAGGTCCATTGCGGATCTCATTGACCATGTAACCCAGAATGCCAAAGTTTTTGCAGGCAGTCCACGGCGGGGGAAGTGGGGTTTGACAGATATAGAGGGATTACAATGCAGCCCCAAAGATTTGCAAAACTGAGGGTATAGATTCGTAAACTGTGGGTACAGTTGATTGGTCTGAGAGAACAGGTTAAGTAAACCGAGGGAACAGATTCTCAGTGAAGATTATGTTTCTCATAACTTAGAATCAGGGGGGCGCCATCCAAACCACTATTAAAATTTGTGAAACAGAATGACCAGGGTGTGACATACTCTTGTGCAAACAGTCAATTACCCACAACAGTACAGCATTTTTTTTTGTTTTCATTACAGTCAGAACTAATACAAAACATTTGGGTATAAAAACTGGAATACTGCCGAAGTTTTACAGTGATCTTACGATAGCAAAACATAAAACATTTAATTGTCGTTCAAAACATTCTCTTCATTTCTTCTATGTGCATCATTCCGCTTGAATACCTGGAATTGATATTTAATGCCATTCTCCTCGTGGATTCCACTTGGGACTCCAGCAAATCTTATTTGGAGACGAAAAAAGAAGAAAAGTAACCAATATATGCAGCCTATAAGAAAAATCAATAGCGTTACGGTTTCTTGAACACAGCAAGTGGCCTTAAATTACACAATGAAAACTTAACTCTGCGGGCTACATGATGACCCGAGATGGAATATTTCACTCACTTTAAGGGTGAAGGTAAGGTACCCCAAAATATTACATGTTTTCACCAACTACTTTTAATCGTGCTTGTCCTTATTCGGGTCACAGGTTAGCTGGGATGTGTCCCACCTGATTTTGGTTGAGAGGCAAAGTACATCCTGGACTGGTCAGCAGCCAATTGCAGGGCACGCACACTCTTCCAAAAAAAGCTAATTCATGACGTTATCAAACTGACGTCTTCACCTTATTTCGTTTCACAGCCGCTTGACTTGATTGACCGAATTCAACTACCGCAACTTTACCACAGATGGAGTGCATGAAATGATTGATTGATTGATTGATTGATTGATTGATTTATTTATTATGAAGACAATTGACTTAGAATTTTAAAGTCATTCATAACTACTTTATATTAGAGTACGACATGTCATCCACCCACATCACTTTGGCATTTTCTATACCGCTTGTCCTGTTAAGGATCCCAGCTGACGTCAGAGTAAAGCACACTACACCCTGGACTGGCCACCAGTCAATCACACAACAACTGCTCACATTTGAGTGGGATTCGACAGACGGGTACATAAAAAGTAAAACCTGTACATCTAAATGGAACAAGTAGTTATTTGTGTATTCATGGGGAGAAAGAAGAGTAGAAGAACAAAAGTGTATGAGGATATGCACCTTTCTTGCTTTTTGAAAACTTGTGGATCCATCTCAGGGAAGAAGACATCACACTCAAATTCAGCCATGATATCCGTCAGGAACACTAAATCACACCAGGGATGATCCAGTGCATCCTGTTGAAAGAAAGAGAGAGACAGAGAGAGAGAGAGAGAGAGATCCATTTTCTAATCCGCCTATCCTCACAAGGGTCGCGGCCATGTTGGAGTCTACCCCAGCTGTCTTTGGTACACCCTGAATTGGTTGCCAGCCAATCGCAGGGCACACATAGATGAACAACCATTTGCGCTCAAAGTCACACCTAGGGACTATATATACAGTATATATATATATCATTATGTTCCACATACAGCACATTTGACAATAAAGTTGTACTTGACTTGACTTGATATATATGTTTGGCTGGAAGGTTTTTGAGACATCAAGAAGGGAATTGTGTCCAGCAACAACTGGATAGAACCCGGCTCGCCGTTAACCATAAAATGTACCTTGTAGACCCGAGTGCCTCCAACAACCCAAATGGTCTCAATCAAGTCTGCAAGCGGGTACTGTGCAGCCATAAGGACAGCACTCTTCAGGTCCTGACACAGAAAATGGGCATAATCTGGAACTGTCCTGTGAGACAGATGTAAAGGGAGTGAGACTGGAGGTATAGTAAATGAGTAGATGACAACAATGAATAATGACTGCCACCAATGTCCATCTCGATCATATGTGGTCTCTTCTCTTAGCGAAGGAGAAATTGCACTCACGCCAGTGTTTCACTCAGGACTGCATTCAAAACATTAGCCATTGGGAACATAGTTTGAGGGTTGGAGAACCAGCACAGTTTGCCCCACACCAACATATTAAACTTTCCTGTAAAAATAATAAAAATAAATATAAGCATTTGACCTGATCAGTGTCCATCACAGGCCTAACTATAAAACGTTAAGTAAAAACTTTTTTTATTTTAATTTAAATCAGGCATTCTATTTCTAATTTTTGGAATATATGCGAAGAGGAAATTCTGATATTGATATGTCTTCTAATGTTTGACATTTCTACAGAAAGAGTACATTTGTGATCTAGTTTACGGAAGAAATAGTTAATATTTAAAATTGAGGATCATACTGTCCAGTTAAAATCACACTGTACAACGGACACCAATTCATTAAAATATATGAAGGATGCATTTCATGAATTAATTTTTTTTTAAATGACAGTAAACTAATTATTGGATCACAGAAAACAGTACTTGCCATTCGACACAATCGACCTGTCCATCCGATCCATCGAATTGAAAGTGACACTAACCCTTTTAGTAAGTGTACAAGGTACTAGAAGTGTAAACGTAACATTTTTACATAGCCATGCAGGAAGGTATCTAGTTCCGGACACTTCAGTTCAGAATTGTAGATTGAAGTTGACATTACCTGGTTTGGAGACTTGTGTAACACTGCGGAGAAAGTACTGGAATTCAGATCTGCAAAAAAAATAGAAAACAAGTCAGTCTTCAGAAGCTTCACATTTGTTCCCTGCAAACATGTCACTGATCTATATATGGTGATATATTCCATTTTAAAATGGGAAAATGAGCATTTTCAACCAGTATGTGGTTTTAGTTGTAATTTGTAAAACATGCACACATACGTACAACTTGGTTGTGACTTCATAAAACAATGCCCCCACACAACAGGAACAATGTAACTGGAGAAAATGTGGAAATGATACAACGCTAGTTAGTCCACAATTATTGTGACTTAGAACATCCAGAAATTGGCTTTCAACTTAAAATGATCATCTTAACCCTCATGTTTTTTTTCCTTCATTGAATGTGAGAGGAAACGCACGACAAAGTATTTTATGAGTAAGGACTGATCTTTAGACGTTGATGGGAACATTGTGATTTGCACATCTGCCTCTGGGTACCCAAGTTTCCTCCCACATCCCAAAAATCATGCTCCTTAGGTAATTGAAAACTCGAAATTGCCCTGAGGTGAATGATTGTTAATGGATGCTCTGCAACTAGCAACAGGTGCAGGGTGAACCCCACATCTAGCTCTAAGTCTGGGAGCGAGATGTCCAGTTACATACAACATTGATGAGGATAAACAGTATAGAAAATGGATGGATGCATTGTTATTTTATAACACTGTACTTTAAAATACAATATGCAGTATTTCAGCACAACCTGTTTTACTGGTACAGTGGATTTTAGGCCTTTGAGAGTGTTGTTTGTTTTACAGTTGTTTTGTGTTTTTTTAGTTTGCAAGCGTTTTTTTTTCTTTTTCGTTCAGCATTCCTGTGTTTGCGGCGTTTGGCGGTTTGCGCCGCGTTTGCCCCTGCGGGTGTCCGTACATTACAACTACGATAATGAGCATCCCTTTCTGATAGTGTCGATTAAAACCTTCTACTGTATTTGCTCTGCAGCTCTTGGACTGGGTCATGAAACGCCCAGGCTGTCTTTGATCTGATTGGTGTATCTCTGGACAAGTTTATCCAGTAATCTATAACAAAACAGTTTTGAGGTTTATCATAAACGTGTAATCGAATGAAGCAATAGACGTGACTTGTTGCATTATTTTCACTTTGTACGTTCCAATGAACGTCACTTCGATTGTAATTTATATTTTAAAGTATTATCTGTGGGCGGCCTCACAATATTTGTGCATCACATGGCTTCAACAAGCACTAACGCCTGGTTTTAATGGGCCGTAAAGTGTTTAAAAAGTGTTTTGTCTGAGCAGAAAGAGACTTACGGTAGATTCCAGGGCAGTGTGCCATTTTTTCCGATGCCCCTTTCTTTGCACACAGCTGCGATGACGCGTACGGGTTTCTTCTGCACTTTCCGGTGACCGTCTTCCATATCCAAAAACCCACACCAGTCCCCACTAGAAGCTTGGATCTCGATCAGATCTTTATCTACCGGATGAGTGAACTCTTCTTGACACCGCCCACTGAGCATGAGTTGCTATTGGGTTGGTTGTCATGTGTGTTTTGTGTCGCGTGTACAAAGAAGCGTTGGAGCATGCGCCTTTCCGATTTTGTGGGCGCACACCTCTGCATAATTACCGCGTCTCCGAGGCAGCAACTCGCATGTAAAATGACTCAGTGACTAAACTGACAAAGATGACTGATTAAAACACAACAGCTTTTGACTTAGATATCACAATGTTGCTTTATTTCCAAAACAGGTTATATCTGGTCATTCTTTACTAAAAAAAAAAAAACAAAAAACCCATCACAAAACAGCAACGCTTGGTAATGAGGAGGTACAGTACTTACAAAAGGAGTTCAGAACCCCCAAATATACACTTAAAAAAAACTGAGCAACTACTGTATTTACATGTGTGATCCCACCATCTCAGTCAGTTTCTTTGAGGTTTTGAACATTTCATATTCTTCATAACATTAAACATACATTAGCATGCTTTATATATATATATATATATTTGGATTTGATACTGTCATTTTCAATCAGATACCGAATCGAAAAAAAATATCTTGGGACAGACTCAATTTGCTTGTGTAAATAAGATGAAGGAATTCCGTACAGTTCAACAGCAATACAAAGAAAAATCTCCTAAAAGACACTGTCTGAATTACTCTTGTTCAGGGTTGTTGCACAAACCCAATTTCAATTAAGTTGGGACGCTGTTTTCAACATAAATAAAAACGCAATACAATGATTTGCAAAACATGTTCAACGTGTAGTTGAGTGAATACACGACAAAACACAGGTGTCAATGCATAGGCAACTTACATCCGTGACGGCATCAGTAATGATAAAAGGTACATACAGGTTTTGGAGTAACTTAATAGTCTGCCATCCAAGCAATGTCTTATTCATCATTACATCAAGCAAGAATGGGAAAGAAATTCACCTAGAAAGCTTCAACGATGAGTGTCCTCAGTTCCCAAATGTTTACTGAATGTTGTTAAAAGATGATGCAATACAGTGGTAAAGATGACCCTGTCGCAGCTTTTGCAGAATGTGTTGCAGCCAAAAAGAATCCAAGTTAATGATTGTTTGCTAAAAATAAAGTGTATCAGTTTGAACATTAAATATAATGTCTTTGTGGTGTTCAATTAAATATAGGTTGAAGATGATTTGCTAATCATTGTATTCTGTTTTTATTCATGTTTAGCATAATGCCCCAATGTCATGGGAATTGGGTTTGTATTATACTAAACTCTTATTAGCTTAATGTGTGTGAAACCAATCGGTTATAAATGGTTTGATATTTTACCTCACTCATGGAAGTTGGTTTTTGAATATATCTCATGGTATGTTGACAGTCGTTGGGGTTTAACACTAAAGGCATGACAAGAACTTTTCACTTAGATGTGTAGCTGACCATTTACAAACCAATAGTCCTGTAAGGCGAATGAACACTGCTTCATTGTCTTTTGGCTTTGCAAAAGGTTGGCTTGATAGCCCCTAGAGTACCAACCTTTGTCTGTGGGAAGGCAAAATTCCCAGAATGTCTTATTAGGAGATTGGTTCGTGCTAATAACTGACTGTGCTGGAGTACTTGTGTCTGAAAGGTATTCTTTCAAATTGTCAGTAACGCAGGGATCTGAATCCATGACTCCCCACTGGAACTCCGCCATGGGCAGTTTCAGTTCCAGTAAATTAGAAAGAGCTGAAGGCCCAATGGAGGAGGATGCCATTCAGGCTGACTGAGGGATTCTTTGTATTTTGTCTTTTGCAACACTATTTGCTTGGCCTTAGGGATTTGGAGTTGCTCTTGGCTTGGCTTTCTTCACTCCGTCGCTTCTGCCTTGACCGCCCTTTCTCTGCATTCAAAGCACCTGATGGGAATAAGCACATTACACATGAGCAACAAAGAACATCTGTGTGATATTATCTCTTTTTTTGGTGTGTGCTACAAAAGCACAAGAGGATATGAAGCCCTTTTAGAGAAATAAATGCATGATTGTGGATAAAATCAATATATGCTACTGGAACTCCTCCTGCCTCAAGCTTTTGTTGTTACTGTTTTGCTTTCGACTTAAAAAAGGGCAACTGTGAAGTCATTTTAGAAAATACCAAATGAAATATTTTTATATCAAGTGAAGTAATTAATGAAAGTATGCTTGAAATAGTTTTAGCCCTAAGTATTACTCAGAAGATGGTTTGCCAAGTTTACGTCACACCTGAGGAAACGTCAACAGAAAAATGTTCGATGCAATATTTTCTATGCAGCCCCACAAGTCTAAACACGGAATTCTGATTAATACTGTGTTTGTGGAATTTGAATTAAGCATCAAAGTTCAGCCATTTTCACACACGTCAGGGCGGACATTTTGCTCTTTGATGTCGACTGAAAATGACACCCCAGTTTCTCAGGGCTCAGTTAATGACCAATCATGGCTGAGCTTGCGAATGCCACATGACCAAACTCGGAAAACAGGGGCTTAATTCCAGTGTCTCACAAATACATATCACTCTTTACAGGTTAGCTGAGTGATTAGCATGACTTCTCTGCCTTTTGTCTGCCGTACAGCCTCGTGAAGCTCCTTTGGATCCTCTCCGCGGAAAAAAAATGTAAAAATCTGTGATTCTCAGTTTTAATGACACACAAAGTGCTAATTTTGAGTCTAGTACATAAATTATGTAGCGGGGACACGGTCAACGGTGCAACCACTCTACCTGCTTGAGATGTTCCCTTCTGGATTGATGCGTCTTCTGAGGAGCCTTCTGGCCCTTGACTAGTTCCTGGGTTGACTCCTCCCACATTATCATTTGCCCCGCTGTTGTGATTATGTGGGACTGTTGCCAGCAGACCTGAATGATCAGCAATGCAGCACAACTTTAACCACAAAGTGCAGCACATTTTAACAAGGTTCACTGGACATTCGCATCTAAAATCAATAGGTAATCTACTTGTTTGGAAAATACGCAACACAGTCAGTCATCCATCCATCCGTTTTCTAAAGTGCTTGTCCTCATTGTGAGCTAGAGCGTATAACAGAGTTTAAAGTCTAACATCACTCCTACAATTAAACTTGTATATGCAGATTTGAGATACGCAAATCAAATTGTATATCAGCGCATTCCACACTGTATGGCTGTAATTGTAGAATACTATGACTAGGGCTGAGTGTAATGGAGTTGCTCTTCACAAACATGACATGCAAGTGTGACTGTTGCTCTTACATAGTCCTCTGTAGCAGGAAAGTTGCTGATAAATTTGCTTCATCCGCTCTATGTTGACGCGGCTGGCCTCAGCATGGTTCACCATGGGCTTTGGGTAGTGCACTCCGATGACACACTTGGCAGCCTTCTGTAGTTCCTCTGGGGCATTCCATGGATCGTAGATATATTTGGCTGGAAAGCCTCTCAGGATGGGCAAATAACGCCTAAAATAGGAGATTTTTTAAAAATGTGGTTAAGCTGACAGAATGGTCATTTTGGAATTGCACTGACAGCAAAACTGTACTGGTACGACCGGTAAGTTTAGAATGTAGCAGTGTGTAGGTTGTCAAGAGAATCAGAATCAGAATAATCTTTAATGACCAAGTATGTAGAACACACAAGGAATTTGTCTACGGTAGTACACGCTGCACTAGTATCATCATAAACAAGAAGATGGCCTTGAATGCACTATACAGTAATAGCATCTTGGGAAAAATGGCTTTCTTATATGAACACTGTCTGCATTTTAACAGCATCTTGAAAAAAAATGGCTTTCTTTTGTGAGCTAACAATACAGAGCACCGCTCATCCTTGTGTGAGTGAGTCTGTGCGTGTTAGTGTGTGTCCGCATGTGATGGAAAAGACACACTTACAACCGTAAATTCAGAGAATCTCAACACACCTAATGTAGTCACCGTTGGGGTCTGCACGTCGCCCAAATCCTACAGGACAGTAACAGTGGAAAAATTGCTGGAAAAAGGAACTGCAAGAAAGCCACATCCAACTGCCAGCATTTACACTCCAGTCCGCATCTAACAGCAACTCTTCAAACACCTGCCAGGATGCAGACACGGTCCATTTAGGAATGAAGAAAGGCAGTCTGCCAACAAGCGATTACAAGTGAGCTTTGTGTGCCTACCCTCACGCCTTCTTCCCAGCTGATCCAGAGGTCTCCCCTGGTGAGGAAACAGGCCACAGCGTGTCGGGCCAAATGGTGGATCCAACCCTCCTGCCTCAGCTGGGTCATAATCGCATCTATCCAAGGAAAGCCTGTCCGTCCTTCTGCCCATTTGGCGAGCGCCTCTGGGTTTCGCTCCCAGGGGATCAAGACGCATACAGGGTTTCCCTCCATCTTGTCAAAACACGGGTTGTTGGTAGCGGTCGTGTAGAAAAACTCCCTCCATAGCAGTTGGCCATACAAGGAGAGTGGTGGTGTGCTGTTCTTTTTAACCTATTTGACAGACCAAAGTTTTTTAAAAATCTTTTGCAGTGGAAGGTTCCTTGAAAACAACAACAATAATTCCCCTATTACCTTCATGTACAGGTCAGTAAGCTTGAAATAGAAGAGTCGGCAAGACAGGCATCCAAAGCGAAGGTAGGGGCTGAGGCCTGTAGGAGTTGCCAGGAGCGAGTTGGCGCTCATTCGAGGACGCTCAAAATTTGCGACCCAGGCCTATCAACAGAAGGAAGAAATAGTGCACAAAGGGTTTGCGCCTGCTATCTTGTAGATTCACTGAGAATATTTCAAAAACTATAAATGTTTCCCATTTGTCTCCTCAAGGGCACAAAGAGGGATTTGCCAAACATCAACAATCCTTGAGCAAATGAATAATCCTTCGGAATGTATGACTTTGGAATTGAACTGTATGAGTAAAATTTGAATCTTGCGTGCCGTAATCAGGCTGATGAAGAGAATGGGCAGTCTAAATATTGTCCATAAAATATGGCTATATTTAGTCTCAATATAAAGGAAATCATGAAGAAAAACTGTATGGTTTGTCCACTATTGTAAAATAGAGTGCTTTTGGACATGTGTTGAATAAATTTTCCATAAATCATTTGTCTAGTGTGCTCCATGTACCTTTCTCTCAAGATGTCTCTCTAGTCTCAAGAGGGCTTCTGTTTCTCCACCAGGCCAAACTGCTGTTGTTAGGCCCTCAGTCTCAAAACCTGAGGAAGAGGACAACATGTGCAGTCTAAGTAGAGTCCTGCTGCAGGGTTCACACACCTTTTCCTCGGATACATTTAAACACCGCTGAAGCATTTGTAGCATTAATTAAAATTTTCCAAACTGTTTACAGAGATACTAATTGGAGATGAGCGAGTACACCACTGTCTGCATCTCTATTTGTTGAACCATCTAAATTATCTGTATCCGTGACTGAACTTGGGGTGGGCGGGTCATAAACATGATGTGGCCGTGGTTTAACTTGCATCTGGCGGGGCTTAAATCAGTGCATTTTTGTAAGTCTGAAATTGACTTGGATAGGTCAGAAATTGCCGGCGGCAGGGTGGTCGACTGGTTCGCACGTCCGCCTCACGGTGCACAGGTGCAGAGTTCAATTCTGGCTCCGGCCCTCCTGTGTGGAGTTTGCGTGTTCTCCCCGTGCCTGCGTGGGTTTTCTCCAGGTATTCCGATTTCCTCCCACATTCCAGAAACATGCATGGCAGGTTAATGGAATACGCTAAATTGTCCCTAGGTGTGAGTGTGAGCGCGAATGGTTGTTCATCTATGCCATGCCCTGCGATTGGCTGGCATCCAGTTCAGGGTGTGCCCTGCCTACTGCCCCAAGACAGCTGGGATAGGCTCCAGCACGCCCGCGACCCTTGTGAGGATAAGTGGATTAGAAAGTGGATGGCTAGCTGTTTATTTGACGATTTAGAGAACAGCCTCAAAATTGAAATTCAAATTAGGTTTTTGATCACAAAAGCAAAAGAATCACTTGCAGAACATAGTTTTGCATAGTCTTAACTGTGTATGATTGAATTTTCATCACAACAGTAAAGGAACTATTTACAGAAATGTTTGTTTTCAATAGAAAGTCAAAAATAAAACACAGGCAGTGACCGATGCAACACAAGCCGTATACAGCTCACAAAGTACGTTCCAAAACAAGTTTACCAACAAATTTTAGATAACACACAAATCGAAATAGAGACAAGCTCAGGGAAACTCAATACAGACTGAAGCAACGTGAGCTGGAGTCAAGCCAAGCAAGCACAGAGAGGTCATCAGTCACACTCTGTGTGTGAAAGAATAATGCAGGGCTCCTCTTGCTGGCAAGTCTGCCGAGGGAGGGACGGTTTCTCTGTGTGACTGGTCAATCACAGAGCGTGACAAGTGAATACATTAGTAGTTACCAAATTAGGATTTTTTTTCATTGAGCTGAGTACGGATAATGATGAGATGTACTCGTTTCATGCTTGTACCCGGCAAATATGTATTATCCATGATGGATACTAATCTAAAATGAGTATTCGACTCTTACCGTTTAATTTTGTAAGAGTGATACAAACCCAATTCCAATTAAATTCGGATGTAGTGTTAAAAATAAATAAAAAGAGAATACAATGGTTTGCAAATCATTCAACCTATATTTAATTGAATACAGGTACACAATAAAGGTAAAATATTTAATATTCAAAGTGATTGTCTCTGAATTTTATCGGCAAGCCCGTTCCAAAAAAAAAAAAAAAAAAAAAAAGGAGCATGTGCCAAAAAACTGAGGAAGTTGAGGAAAGCTCATCAAACATCTGTTTGGAACATCTCATAAGTGAACAGGTTACCTGGGAACAGGTGGGTGCCATGGTTAAAAGGAGCTTTCCTGAATTGCTCTGCCATTAACAAGCAAAGATGATGCGAGCTTGTATTCTGTTTTTATTAATGTTTAACACAACGTCTTCAATTCATTCATTGAATTTGTACAAACTATAGCAGAAGCAACAGACATGCATTAGCTCAAAGACTTACCAAGTTCTTCAAGTGACGGCACTGCAAACTTGTCGTCATGGTCATCACTGATGGGTGTTGTGCAATTTTTGAGGACTTGCGTTGTGATAGTCTCTGCCGGAGAGTCCACAGCATCCATGCAACTGATAAGAGCCTGGAAGCGCTTGTATGTGAGAGGAGGCTGACCGCCATTCACTTCTATGATCCTTTAGGGAATGAATTCAACACAACACACCGCATTAAACTCAAACCTGCACATGCAGTTGGAAAGTGACTACACTTGTGTTTCACCACTCACTTGTCTAGATCATAGAGGGTGTGCGAAATCCGCACCATGACCTCAACCCCCGCCTCGGTGGCTAGCTTTTGAATAGCAGCATCCCGTTCCTTGCCAAAAGGCTCCGAGTCATATTCGTAGGACAAATGAGTTATCTGCCATTCCTAAAGAGAAAATGAAATCATATCAAGAATAAATTTGACACTAGACATGTCAAAGTTGACTACAAATTGGGACTGGTTTAATGAACTTGTCTCTGGAGCAATTTATTTTATGTGTCTGTCTAACTTTCCAACTAGGTGTATGAGCATGCCAGACTGGTTTCTGCAAATATTATTTGTTAGGGTTTGTGGCAGAAATGTTTTCTCTGTATATTATATTATATGGTATGTCCAGATGCATTTTTATTTTTTAATCATATTTCTCAACCAATGGGTTGTCGGACGATACATTTTAATAAAGCGCGGGACACTTTTTTTCAAGTGTCAATGGGTGGGATATCTATTCGTCAAGGAGAGCGATACGACTGCACTGGTAGCAGACTCCTCAACTGACACAAAAACTGCAAGGTATCCTTAGATCAAGGGTCACCAACAAAGTGACTGCCGGTACCAGGTAGCCCCCCAATAAGTAGCCAGCAGGTCTCTTCTCGAAATAGCTCTCCAGTTATGGTACATTGTGATTTTCTAGGAATGCTGCAGAAGTGGTCCTTTGAAAATGGGAATGTTGGCAGAGATGTATAGTGTTGCCTTTTGACAATTCCCTCCTCCTAATTATTGTGAGAAATCATCAGTATGATTGATATCTTCTCTTAAGATCAATATTATAAACAACAACATAGAAAGATATAATTGAAAGTAATTTGAGCAAATGTGTTATTTCAGAAGAGTGTCTCAAACTGGTAGTCGTCGGCATTATTCAGTGCCCAAGAAGTAGCTCTCACTTTCAAAAAGGTTGGTGACCACTTCCTAAATTACATAGATTGTAAATGAATCGCTTGCGTGAAGCTTTACAGTTTTCATCTTTTATAACAAGCTGTGCAATGACACATTGCCTGTCATCAATACTGGGGCTTGTGCGGTGTGCGCATGTACGCAATGTCAACATGCAACTTATTTGAATCGTATCGAACCGATCTACCCTGAAAGATATCATTTTTCATTCAAATCGCAACCTGTGTATCACGTTATCAAATCGGCCTTAGGCCCAAGATTCCCATCCCTACTGATTACGCTTGATAGTTGGTTCATTAATCCATCGGAATGTTTGAATATAAAACTAGTGAAGAACAAATCTCTGTGCATCTATCTTATCGTATTCTATATTATCTAGACCCAGATGTGCAAAATAACAAATATTCAATAATACCATTACAATTGCAAATTGTCATCCCGCTGATTCTATCAAACCAACCTTGAATAGTCTGGGGAAGACATCTGTGGGCTGACCTCGAATGACAAAGAGGCGGGAATTGAGTTTACGCAGACTGGCATCTAAGTCCTCCAAGCAATGTAACAAAAACCTGCAAACAAGCAGACAGAATGCGTGTCATATGCAACTCTGTTTCTTCTGTTGAATTGGGTCACATCAACAATGTTATGCCAAAAATAAACAAGTGGGCAGCAAGACTATGTTTTTATTGACACTATTGTTTGCAACAGTCATTTCACAACAAATTTTGGGAACATTTATCGCAGTAGAGATAAGTACGTCTGCAGCCTAAGTTTGCCACCCGTCCCTTCACATATGGAATCGTCCTTTAATTGAGAATTAAATGTTGCGTCCCATATTGAACCAATACGGGATGCGGTTTGTTCCCTATTTTACGCATTGTCCCATGCGTCTGTCACACACAAACATGAACACTGAATTTAACACTAATGAACAAAATAAATGGCAGGAAATATTAAAGACACCAATGTGGTGGACCTGCGAGTGTAGCCTATGTCTGGTGTGTTCTGCTCTGTGCCAAATCCTGTCTGCCTGCATGCAGGCAGCCCAGCCCCTTTGCGTTGCCGCTGCCTGTCATGATCGTATAGCTGTTACAGTACTCTACACAGTACATGCATGTAATACAGGATGCTCAAGTTTACCCGAGTTCAGTCTATTCAACGTTGAACATGTTGACATGCAAGTTTACAAGTGTTTCATTTTTTTCTTCGTCTTAAAGTGAAGATTTGCGCCTCCTAGCGTTCACAGTCAGCTGGCATTAGCTCTAGATGACCAGCGACCCAATGCGGACAAGTGTGATAGAACATGGATGGATGGATGAAATGAATGGTGTGAGTCGCACATCCGGAGGGACGTGGGTTTTGAAACTAGTGGGAGTTAGTTTGTGGAAGCAAGTAAAAAATAGTGGTTAGACTTAGAGAGATACGAGTCTGTTTCCTGGCTCCTGCCTAAGTGTCTCTGAGCAAGACACCGAAGCCATATAATAAATAGTATATAACCGTTGTAATAATAAAGCGAACTGTAATAAAAGTTCGGATGTACCTTGTGTGAAAGAAACCACCTGCAATACTAAGAACGTTCCACGCATGCCCTCGTGTGGCTGAGCAGAATAATTGCTCACCATTATGACAGCTGCCACAGAGTGGTAAACTTGCTGAAATCCAATGGGATATACGTATTAGGCCTGTAGAATGGCCATTCAATTGTCCGAAGTCTTACAACAAAATGACTAAGTTGTCTCAAATGAGTATGTTTGCAAACTTACCTCCACCTATTGATGCCCACGTTTGACGAGCCTGCAAACCAAGGGTCCAGGATGTAGATGCAGCGTAAACTGTGAGCCACCCGAATCGTGTCCCTTAAAGACGGGTTGTCGTGTAGCCTCAGTCCCTTTCGGAACCAGTGGATTGCGTTGGCCACCATATTGAGAGCGCGCTGTAACGTATGTATATTATATACGGTGGAAGGCGGAGCGCGTCCCACAGTTAACAGACGATCAAATCTAACCTACACTGTTTAGGCAGCACAACTGCCTGTATGATGCCTATATAAAGCAAGTCGGTGAACTGGCAAACGTAAATTAGCGCTCGCGCTAAAGTTAACCGAGCTCCATTAATTTCTCCTCACAGTGAATTCTCCGAAGCAGTCGTGGTCGCATGTGGGTAGACAGCAGAAAAGCACAGCATACGAAAAAAACCCCACCAAAACAAACCGTTTCCTGTTAATGGCAGCGACGACGTTGCATATAGAAATGTAATCCCGTCATCTCCTGCCGATTTCTGGAGGCGTACATATATCCTATATACTGTAAAAACTTGTTTCTATATGGTTCCCCGAAGAAGACGTCGTCTAAAACAAGACGTGCACTTAATCTCGCGACCTATTTGTGAAAAAAGGATTGCGCGAGAACGTCTGATGAGCCAAGCAAAGATCTCCTTTCATTGTGTGTCAACATCTCCAACCATTGGAATATTCAGGAAGAAACTGGCGCTGTGATTGGTCAGTCCAGACCGTTATACAACGCTTTCGCTGTCACGTTTCAGTAGTGTGCTTTTTGCGACCTGCTTAGTGTTTACCTATTTTCTTCGAGTGACTTTTAAAAACTTCAAACGTCGACTTTGGGGGAATTGCTGTACAGTGAGAGTTAAAAGAAAATCCCGGAGACCGCCGCAAAAAAAAAAGAAACGCATTAAAGCTTAGTGAAAGGCAGCCAATCAGAAGGTTAGTGTTGATTTATGCGTTACACCCAAAGAAACCCGGATAAGCACATGTCGCACCGCGCTGGCTCGGTTGAGGTGTGCTCGATTTGTAATCCAGTTTGCGCCGGTTTACATGTTCATATATTTCAGTTGTCATTAAAGAATTCCGTTAAGTGGGTTGTGATTTCCTTCTAATTGTTGTTAACAAAAAGATCAATATTATTCAGTGCTACTTTGGCAGCATCTTTTTTCGCCACATACTGTGTAATTGTAGTCTCTTATCTGGAAAGCTCCATTGGTCCCGCCAAGAAGGAATCTTTGTTATGACATTATAATGGGAAACTAGGAAACTTTGAAAAGGTATCCAAGGCTAGTTTTGAAACAGTCAGATTTTGAAAGCACATACCGCTTTATATATGATCACAATTCTTCATACAGACTGAAGAGAAAGGCAAAGCAATCCTAATTTTCTTCCTCCTCCACCTGATCAGACTTCATGAACGTAGCTATCATGTATGCATGCATGCTACCATGAATTCACCTTTCATACACTAGCGAAATATAGAGATATTGTGTCACATTAAATATTTAAACATTTTAAGTCACAAAATATAATTTGAAGACGACGGAGGTACAAAATCCCACTGAAAAGAACACAAAACTTCACTGATAAAAAGTTTGAGTTTAAATATGAATGTTTTTACGTAAATAATTAAAAAAATCATGAAACCAAAAAGAGGAAAAAAAACATGCTGTACTTAGATTTTCCAAAACACACTACAATACCCAGGTGTTACTCCCTGGAAAAGTTGATAAAGATATTGTAGTACAGAATCCAGTGTTATATTTGATTCGAGGATGTAACTCATTGTTGCAAAAAAATATGGAGGAGCCAAATAAAAAAGTACAATTCAGTCTGTTGCTAAACTTAATTTGAAGCAGACAAGGTCATAAATCTTTGTTATGGGCTTACACTAAAGATTTGACTGCCTTTTTAGTACTAATAAAGGGAGAGTACTTATAAAATAGCAAAATTAATCAGCAATGAAAAGTCCTCCTCAACAGTATTGTATCGTAAATAGCACGTCATACCCAAGGGAACTCAATGTGCGTCACTCAAGCACAGACACAACAGTTAAGGAAATTTCAGAAGCAAGCAAAGCGGAGGAAACAAAAGTAGCTTACCCAAATGAATGTACATTTACAATATTTAAACACATTAACAGAAAACTTTAAAAACATTTAAAAGTAAAACAAATACAGAAAAGTAGGTTTTTAAAATTACATGAAGTAAAAAAAATCAAAGACCTCAATTAAAGCAACGTTTTTAACCTGGAGTTAAAAGGATACACACTCAGGGTGACATCAATTGATAGTTCATTCCATTTTTGTGCAACACAACAGCTAAATGCAGCTTCAACATGTTTACTTTGAACCCTGGGCTGCACGAAAACCCAAGACTGCAGATCTCAGAGCCCGATATATTCAACCATCATTTCTTTAATGTACACAGACCCAAACCATTCAGTAAATGATAGACCAATAGCAGAATTTTAAAATCTATTGTACTGTACTGTAGCTGATTGGGATCCAGTGTAAATCCTTTGGGACAGGAGTAATATATTCTATTTGTTCTGGTCAGAACCCAAGCTGTAGCGTTCTGATAAGGAGTTGCAGCTGTTTGATGCTGTTTTGAGGGACTCCAGTTAGAAGACTGTTACAATAATCAAGTCTACCGGAGATCAAAGCATGAATATGTTTCTCCTGGTCTGCTTTCCTGATCTGAGTTACAGATAAATATCATTGAATTAAATGTTGCTTCGTATTATTGTGTATCCGTACACTTGCGTGAAATCAAGTCATTATTCACATGCCATATTGCAGTTTTTATACTAAATGTACAAGCAAGTTATTACAGACCGAAGTCGAATCCAAACTAAACTGAGAAGGTATACAGTAATCCCTCGTTTATCGCGGGGGTTACGTTTCAAAAAGAACCAGTGATAAGTGAAATCCGTGAAGTAGGATTTATTAAAAAAAAAGCAAAAAAATGCGAGAGGGACGAAATTTCAAATGTGCTGTACAGCACATTTGACAATAAAGTACTTGGTTCTTGATAGTCAGCTTTATTTTTTACAGTTATTATACAATACTGAACTACAACCCAGCCGCTGGGGGGCAGTGCCCTCCCTGGGGGTGCACTGTTCCCCAGTGCCGGTCCCAAGCCCGGAGAAATGGGGAGGGTTGCGTCAGGAATGGCATCCGGCGTAAAACTTTTGCCAAGACGACCATGCGAGTTGGTAGGACGGTTTACAGGGGCGGATGGAAATTACTGACTCGCTGTGGCGACCCCTGAATAGGGATGTGCCGAAAGGAGAAGAAGAAGATACAATACTGAACTACGTATGCAATGCAGAGGCGATTGCTCTAAGACTGCAAGGGAAGCTCAGCTTCCCCTAAAATGTCAAAAAGTGTGTGATCAAATATGTGTGTACGGACAATTGTGCGGACATGTCATTGACTAAATATGCGCTACAACGCGCTCAACTTTTGTTCCGAATCAGCTTCTTATTACTGGTTACGACGCGACTCTCTTCTCATTCATTCCCGCAGCTTCACTGTGCTTTAAAGTGTGCGGACGCTGGGCGTCTTGAGAGTTCAGTGTAGGTGGTCCCAATGCTTTAAAATGAGACGAGTCATTGGATAAATGCTGGTTTTGTCCCGCCCATTGGACGCTCAGCGTCTCTGCGAGTCTATGGACAGTGGGCAGAAGCTCAGCTTTTCTGCATGATGATTGGATGATCTGTCTGAGGCTGAATCTCATTTTGATTGACAGCCAAATGAGCCAATCACCGATCTTATGGTGAAGGCATCCTTTTCATTTTTTTGAAAAGGAACAGAGAGTATAATTAACGTATAAATAAAAAGACACATTTTATGATGTAGGCCGAAATTGAGCTTCCCCTCCTTGATAGACCAGCATCTGCCACTGATACAATAAAACCAAAGTCCAAAAATTTGCAAAGGTAAATCTGGCAAGGTGTACAGAGATGAGGTGCAGAGACTGTTCACGTTGGTCAGTCCCTTAGCCAATCAGGATGCAGAACACAATTGATTGTTTTAAAAAAAGCATTAAAAAAACTGCACTAAAAAATCCGTGAAACACCGAAGCCGCGGAAGGTGAACTGCGTTATAGCGAGGGATTACTGTACACCAAACTAAAACAATGACCTCACTACTCAAATGAATTACCACTCTGTGACTCTGGAGGTCACTGTTGCTCCAGAAAGATTTTTATTCCGTCCCTTTATAGTGGATCTTGCTGCAGACGCAATACTGCAATTTATGACATACTCATTTATCATTAATTTATATTTCCTTCCAGGTATTTTTTTTAAAACCTAAAGTAATGTTTTCTTCATTGAACTAAAATAATGCACGTTTTAATTTACAAAATCAGTTGTGAGGTATATATTCTAAAAACAAAAACTCCAAATCATAATGAAGATAACAAAACAATTGATAATGAAGTATGGACATTATGCATGCTCGTTATAAATATAAATATACAACGTGAGTCATACAGAGTCTATACATGTTACAAAACAAAGCATAAAGATTAGAACCTGAAAGAAAGTAATCCTGTGCTTGACCTTGGAGATACTTCAGATCGTCTCAGTAGGTTACCTGCACATCCACACACAGACACAATGATACATTGTGCCTGTAATATATTATTAATGGTCATGAATCATGTTACCAGCAGGCACGGACCAGAAAAAGTCTATTTTAAAAGGCTTGATCTATCTCCGCCAGATTACCTATTAGTGTTAAATGAAAATAAATACAATTAATTCGAAGCCATTGATGGAAATGTGTTTCAGCCTCATTATAATTTGGCAATCTTGCATATTTCAGTGCAAATGCGTTTCTACCCACATTCACTTGCGACTGGGACGTGTAAGACAGGGAAATCAATGTTGTTTACAGCGCATTTTTATTAATAAGCCTCACGACTAGCCTTATTAGTGACTTTCTATTCACATCTACGATTCATCCAATCAGAAAGAGGTCTTGCTTAACATCGCGTGTCGATTGGCTGTCAGCTTGGCGCCTTGTTCCCGCCCCCAACTGTCAGGCACTGCGCTGGTCAAACCGTTTGACGGCTGGTGCACTGAGCTCTTACACTTTTAACTTTGTATTAAATCATTGGACATACTCCAACCGTCCACAATTTCATTTCATGTGCATGGCGCGCGCCTATGTACACTCGTCGATTTTCTCCACTTTTCCTTTTCGCTATGAAGCACAATTATGGCAAGGAGTAGCAAGTCAGCAACAACAGCGAGGACCCTGGAGGATTTGACTCTAGACTCGGGTTATGGTGGAGCCGCCGACTCCTTCAGGTCTTCCAGTGCGTCGCTGTGCTGCTCGGAGGTACATGGGGGGAACTGCTGGCAACTAACGGACTCCATGCACAGTCGAAACAACAGCCTGGACACTGTCAACACGGTCCTGGTCGAAGACGCCGAGATCCTGGAGTGCACCGGCCAGTGCGCTAAACTACCCGAGCTTGAGGATGTGCCGTGGAGCCTCGGGGAGGTGGCGAGAGCCCTGCAGAGGGACGAGGGAATGAGCGTGCCGAGCCCACCGCAGGACGTCCTGCTCCGACTCTCGGCGCTGGCCAGCCGGGCCCTCGTTAGGGTCGCCAAGGAGGCGCAGCGCTTGAGTTTGCGCTACGCCAAATGCACCAAATACGAGATCCAAAGTGCCATAAAGATGGTTCTGTCGTGGGTCGTCTCCACGAACTGCATCGGCGCCGCCCTCAGCGCCTTGTCCTTGTACAACATGAGCACGGAGGAGGACAAGTTCGGCCGCGGCAAGTCCGTGCGCTGCGGGCTAGTCTTTAACGTGGGGAAATTCTTCAGGTGGATGGTCGATAGCAGGCTCGCGGTCAGGATCCACGAACACGCTGCCATATATCTGGCGGCGTGCATGGAGAGCCTCTTCCGCGAGATACACGAGCGAGTGCTCCGCAGTGCGCTGCTGGAGCGGGACAACAGTATGCCCAAGTTGAGCGTGGAGAGCCTGGAGCAGGCCGTCGGGAGTGATGCTGAGCTTTGGGGGTCATTGCAGCACTGGCAACACCTCATCTGTGGGAAGAATGCGAGTGGTAAGTAACGGCGGCAGGAGCACTTAACTCTTGCCGTTCTTCAAATCAAAGTCGTGCATATTGAGTTTGCTAAGGCTTGATAAGCCACGAGTACGTGTGACTCTGGAACACTGAAAGGATCATTGAGTTTAAGTGTACACTGAATCACTGTGAGCCATTGTAGATTTGTAGGCGATTGTTTTTTTTCTCAGTTTTTAATGGGGTTTTGCAAGACAGGAGTTTTCACCATTACGTCACACGGAGTTCCGGGTGGCAAATCCCCAAGCTTTCTCCAGAAAGCAAAGCCTTTCGTGCCATTTTACCAAGGCATAGTAATTGAGAAAAAAAAAAAAAAACACTTGATGGTTTTAGCATTCTTTCCTATCTGTAGTTTGAATGTGTGAAATGTCAGCCTCCCCCACCCCCAAAAAAAGATCCCTCAAGTAAATGGCTAAAACAGCATTCGCTGAGCTTGAGTGTCACATGAGTTTGTTAGGTAGGAGCAGTCAGTCTCAGGCAGCATGGGTTCGTCACTCAAAATTAGGGTCTGGATGGGAGTGTGAATGGTTGTTTCAAAAAGTGACCTGCAATTGCACATTTTCACATTTTGGTATTCGGATATCCCACTGTAAGCGATCAAATAATTGAGTATTTAGATCAGATGAACTGTAAACTTTTGCTTGGTTAAAGAGCAATTACGAATGTACAAGAGAAAATAACACATTTAACTTTATTATGACTTACCAATTGGTTTTCATTTTTAGATGATCAACTTTTTTTGTCCTAAATTTGAACTGTGCACAGCAGCAAACTGTGTTTTCTTCTCTCAAAACATTTGTAAGTGAGACTTAGGGCTATGAGATGAAGTGGCGTCAGAACTACAGCAGCCATTTCCCCTGATAAAAACAGCACATATTAGAGTAAGCCGGGATATATATATATATATATATATATATACATATATATATATATATATGTATATATATATATATATATATATATAAAATGATCACTATAGGAGCTACATCTGGGTCAGGCTATTAGCATCAACGTGTTCATAGTCATTTTCATCTCTTAAACTGCCAGCAAGAAGTCCGACAGCGCTTGCCAATATGGGGCACTTGATTAGCGGCTAGCTGCTGGCAAACAGGCACCACATTCTACAATGTCAGTGCCCTAGTTTTTGCACGGTAACTTACGTATTGTGCCTTTGTATTTTTATTCAATTCACAGTGTTGCTGTTTTGTCTGCCACCTTGTAGCAGTTGCGTGGCAAAAGAACAGTAAGTGAAAGCTTTTGCCCGTCAAATTAAACTTTCTCGGTCTCAAATGGTATTTCGCTGTTGGTGACAAATGATGACCGACACGATAGTAGACAAGTGACATGACAGAGAGACATGTTTGTTTGTTTGTTCAATAAACAAACAAACAAAAAAAAAGTAACACAATCGTCTTCACGATATACAGTATACTGTATTGTCATGTCGCCCACCTCAACACCGCCCCTCTACAAAATTGTGTTGAAATTGTTTTGTTTGTTTGTTTGTTTTTTGTGTAATTCTTTAAACTGTATCTATCCCAGTACCTTTTTGTTTAGTATCACAAAAGGGTTGCCGTGAAAAGATCATAAATACAAAGCTAGTGCTGGCCACAGACTTATAAAACATATCATCCTAGTTTTTGTTCATCTCCAAAATCCGTAAATACTGTAAGAGCTTCATTGTCTCACATATATTACCCTTGAAATTCTTGCAGATGTAATGCCTTGCATCTCGATGTGCATTTTAATCTTTCCCAAATCAATGGTGGTACATGCACACGTGTACGTGCTTACTGTGATACTGACAATACCCCCTTTGTAGTTTCCACACTGGCTTTCTGGTTTCACTTTTTGTTCTTGTCCTTTAAAAGTAATTGTATTCAGACTTTACTGCTGTGTAACTGGCAATACATCACACACCACTCTAATACATGGTTGTTGGTTTGATGGATGCTGAAAAACTGCTGCTGTGACTCTTCTTGCAACAGGTTTACATAATGAAAGACCCTTGGGGACCTACAGTTTGTGCTATCATCCATTATGCAGAGCAGTGTGAATAAAATTGGGGATTTGAGTGAGCGAGAGAGATAAACAGAGAGTGAAAGAGAAGAAGTTTGAGAAGCTGACTGTCGTGATGCATCACCAATGAATGCCTGAAGCTTGAAAACATGGGTGTACACACTTGTTTGTTTAGCTACATTTGTTATACAAACTATGTTCACCATTTTGGTGGGAGAGTTCATTTTAGTACAGCCAAGCAGGAGCCATGGAAATTTGCTTTCGTTTGCATTTTTCCTCACAATGTCGGCTATTCTGACTTCAACCTCCCACTGGAACACACCCTTCAGTCAGACTGAGTGACAGAATATGCTGCAGTGTGTCAAAGCGTGTCATACAGCAGCCTATGACATCCTGCGTGTTTTGGAACGATGGTGGTGAAGAGGGAAGCAACTGTCACCAGATTTTCGTTTTGTCTCACGTAATGCAATCACAGTACAAGTGTATTTTCTCAGCATTACTCGTTTGTCATCCCGAATTGAATGTAAATGGCAAATGGAGCCTAACAAAGCCTTCCAATCTATGCCAATGGATTTTAGCTTAGTGCTAATGCTGCAGCGAATTTTCTGCTATTACCCAGACAACTACTTCCAGATACATGATGTCACATGCCTACCCTCTTATAATGTAAGCTTGTCTCATTTGTTCCCCCGGTTTCTGGAAAATTAGCTCATGACAAAAACTGAAGTGACGCACAATATATCACGACACCAACATGGTCTGCATTGCCCAATTAGACAGCAGATTTAGGAACTGCCTAATGCTGTGGAGTATATTTTTGCCAAGGTTAGGCCGAGAATAAACTCTTTTTGTCAAGGACTGCACTCCAGATTTTATTTTTTTTTTTTTTTAATTACAGCACACATAGTCCAAGGCAGAGCGACCATAAAACATCACACTGCACTGTGCGATCGTATTGTTTAATGCCAATATTGAGTCACATTGTGCATTCAGTCCATTTGGCATCCAGTAGATTTCCAGCTCCTTAAGAGGTGTGGCAAGTGTTTGGCAGTGTATTACTCTGCGTTGAATTTTGAGGAAGAGGTTTGGAAAGCTGATGTAATGCATGCTGGAACACTGGCATGTTTTGTGGTTCTTGAACCAGTGATTAAACCTGACGTAGTATCGTAGACAGGCTGTGCGCGTCCAACTGGTCAACTCATTACAAACTGTACGTTATGCATGTTGGAAAGGATTGTATCGGCTGTATTTTAACATGAAAGATCAAAATCTGATAACATTGTGTGGCAGATTCAAGTTGAGATGTGGAAATAACCAGGGATGTTGCTTGGCATAAAGCTTTACTGGGGCAAAGGCCCTTACAACAGTGGTCTGCAACCAGGGGTCCGTGTGGCATTTAGTACTAAGCCGTATATATTTCTTAATAATAAAAATTCTGTATCGGACAGTATATGCCCTAAATGTACGTTTTCACCATGACAGGAATGTAACAGATGGTTGCTGGTCCACGAAATATCACATACATTAACACACACACACATGCACATATACACACACACACACACACACATTCACACTGACACTGTCCCAACCCCACCGTTGCACTCTTAAGCCCCTATATCACTGAACATTTGCAACCATTGGCGAAGCGAGCTATATGCGCGTGCACTTCAGAGTCCGTCAGGCTTTGTTCAAGGTCGCAAATGTTCGCAAAATATTCATCTTCAGTTTTAGGGTTTTTTTTCTCGAGCTGGTGAGGGGAAAGGAAGCGTCCATCGCGAGCAGGTTGCAAATCAATGAATGCAGGGAAAGACTGCGGGTGGATGCTGCAACATATTCACAGCTGCGTCGCAATTTAATTGAATTGAATTTTTCTTCCCACTCAGGCCGTACTGGCCAATCCGTGCCTGTGGCTCATTATTACTGGGGCACGTGGTCGAGCCAAGAAGGTCTGGCGACGCCTCTGGATATAACTAATAAGAGCCACTATCTACCATATTGAAGTTGAATGATCCATATTGTCCTCTTCTTCCAATGAATTAGGAGTAATTGGGGTGATGTTTTTAATGTTATGTTTACCAACCTTTGTTCGGAAAGCTGTGAGTATTTTTCTTTTTTATCCATTTCATCAGCACTTGTTTCTCTTAGGTTTGCCTGTTGTACGGATTCAGCCAAAGTGATTATTTCTTCAAGTGAAATGACAGCTTGTGAGAACTTTTCGTTGAATGACATGACATTATAAATAAATCATATTCATCCATTTTAGCTGCCCGGAAGGGCTCAGGCTTCAACTTTGTATCAATTTATATTCATAACTATGACTTTACGCTGCATGTTCAGGGTAACTCGTACAAGTTCAGAAAGTCAACTTGTAACCACTTTTCAATATAAAGCAACTATTAGATGCATTCATTTTATGTATGTTAGTCATGTCAATTGAACTTACTATATCCAAAGACACAAGACGACGAATGCTAAGCCTTTGCTTCAATGTCAGGTTCTCAAACCGTTGTCTCGGCCAGTGAATTTCCTCTCAGAGAATTGTGTTTTCGTCTAACGGCAAGTTGACAACAGCTGGATCAGGACGCACATTTTAGTCATGGTCCATGAGAACATTATTTTGGCCAGATGTGTCTGCGCTGTCTTCTATTTCTTCCTCCGGAAACCGTCTGGGTCTTATTTCTCAAACACAAAATCATTAAGGTGAGAGGGAGCAGTTCGTCCATTCGAACAAAACAGGGACAGCATTTCCACTTCTTTAAAATGCCGGTACCACACCTGGGTGTGAAGTGTTATGGTACATGTCACTCTGCGGGTGATAATCTCCTCACCCTCATCTATATTCTATTCAGTTGTAACAATGGGTGTTGCGGCACCGCAAGGCCAAAAGTCACTATGTTGTTTGTCATGTGCAGGAGGCAAAATTATTGAGTGTCTTTGGAAAGGATAAAAGCGTGGCATTA